AAAAAAAAAAAAAACACATTTTCTCTTATAGATTGATTTACATAAAAAAAATCCCGACGACAAAAGTCTTCGCCGTGATATTGGCTGGATTCTGAGTAATTTGGCTGCTGGGAACAGAGAACAAATAGAACGGTTGTTCAGCAGTAAACATACTGTGCCGATGATACTGGACCTTGCAAAATCAAAAGAACGCTCGGTTCGTGTGGTCAGTTTAAACCATTCTACTAATTAAGGCATTTAAAAACCCAAACATGAGTCAGGAACAAATTTGTTCACCTAAAACTTGCTCAAAAACTTGAAAAATGCATGTAGGAGGTCTTCTGGAAGTGGAAATCTCCAAACACTGAACGTTCATCTTTATAAAATCTTTGTAAGGTTTTAGCGGTAAAAAATTTTTAGTCTGAGAAAAAATAAAAAGTAACATGATTTCTCTGGTGCTAGTGGCAAAAAAAGCTTTTTTCTACTTACTTAACTGGCTGTCATATTTGCCAATCTTGGACTAAAAATTTGTCGTAACTGGATTCAGGAGGCGTGCTGGGCAGCATCCAACGCCTTTCACAGAGCTAGTCCTCAACGAATTGTATGGCTCTGCAAAGCGATACTTCCGGCTATTCGTACAGCACTTGATGTTGACATGGGTTCCGCTCTTCGAGAAAATGCTCTAGCTGCTGTACGGACTATCCTAACACAAAATCCAAACTTTTTGTACCTGCTTTACCGAATGAATGTCCTAAAACGGGTAAGAGTGATTTATGCGAGAGAAATAAGTGATAATGAAATTAAGGTAATTCTTAAAACTTTATTTTTTTCTATCTAACAACTAACAACACTAACACAATCATTGAACAAGTTCATCAGACGACTCAATGAAGTAATTTAAAAATTGAACAATGTGCTGTTTTTAACGTTTACTAAACCTCAACCTACTATAATTACGGAGTAGAATGTACATAGCGTTATTTAGCTAACTACTACATCTCATCCGGTTACCACATTTTCAAATCATATTTTTCTTTTTAGGGAATTGCTGGTAATCTGGTCGCTGCAGAAGATTTCATGCTTTCAAATAATTTTTTGCCATCAAAGTTCCACTTTTGTTGATTCAGTTTTGATAACTTTATTTAACCTCTGAATGACCGGCTAGCTTTTAATGAAATCTTGAAAGACCTTTTACACTCTAGCCGGAAGTCAAACCAGTACAGATTTCCATATGCCAAGAAAGTCGTTATTAAACAACCCCCTCCAAATTACTTAAAGGCTCTCGCAAAGTGTCAGCTCCAACATAACGCAGTTCTGCAGTTTTCCTTGCTTTTAACGGATATCAGTTCCTACTTAAGCGACAAAAGAAATAAAACTGCCAACTTCTCCCGATTTCCTTTTGAAATCTTCCAAGTCGACAAAACCGAAAAGTCTCAATCTGTAAAAGACTTCACCGTATTGCTTTTAAACTGCAGAAACTGGCCTACCTCTATTGTGAAAACAAGCCTGATAAAACTGGTTCACAAATTTGCTGCTAACGCCATTTACCATGTCAGCTGTAAAAATAAAAGTGAACCCTTGCCACGCTTATACCTCTTCAAACATTTAAAATCGTATACCTTATCACATAATCACTTCACCAATGATATAAGCACATCCCAAGCGTTAATGAAGAGAAGTGTCACAGCATTTATGACTTATTTTAAAGAAATGTGTCATTGCAACCAGCAATACAACATTTCTTTTGCAAGCCATCTGAAGCGACGTGCACTACTAGCCCATACGGAGAAGCAAATGGTAGTAGGTTAAAGATGTTTATATGACTGATAAGAAAATCCACATTAATACAGCACAACAACGATTTTGCACAAAACACAAAGGTAACAATTTATAGATTCAGAGAACACAAGGTGCTCCAAAAGGTTTTAAACAAAGAAACCTTGGCGCAGATTCATAGAGCCAGAGTGCCCACATAAATAATAACAAACAGTTACAAAAACAATATTGACATGAATCAGTTAAGTTACCCAAAAATATTAGAAACTGCAGCTTTGAATTGAGGGTAATTTCAAGACCACCTCTTCAACGCGCAGCTGACAGTGACAAATGAAGATATGTTATAAAAGCACGTCACAGAACGAACCTATTTGATAAATAGGTGTTGAAAGAGCATTGATTCGTATTTACAAGCAGTTTCGAAGTTACCGCAATGTAGAATTAATTTAAGATTTATCATTCTCAATGAGTATTTGCCAAAATTCGTATGTCTCCAAATGGAACGTCTTGCAGCACCCGAATTCTGTTTTGTTTCAATAACACTGAAATAGATTTGGCAATTCGTAACTTGTTACTTTCAGCGTTCCAAGAGTAAAAACTAGAATCCGCAAAAATAGCTTACAAAGAAGATTGGAAAATCCTCTTGCAGCTTCCACATTTGAGCACTTTTGAAGAAGAGACGAAAACCGTACATCAGAAACCCCCTCGGTTAGTTGCATAAATTCAATGCTTCTGGAAAGATTAAATTAAAACTAACATTCTTCTTCGACGCAGAAGAATTTATCATTTGTCACACTAGAGAATATTCTAAGCTACTTGAACAACTCTTCAGGAGTGCCACAGCTTATATATCTATTCGAATCCTTAGACTCCTTGATTACTGGGTCATCTTCTGCCACTTGTAACGATGGCGCCTCTCCAAGCTCATTTTGAAGGTGGACCTGTTTGCCATTTGCGAAACCTTCTGGAGCGTTCAATAGGTCCTCGTTTACTAAGTTTTCGCTCCCGAGGTCTGCTGCTAACTGCAACTGGGCAGAAGATGAAAGTTCATTACCTTCGGCAACTTCTGCTGGAAATAACACTTTTTTTTAACGTAAATGAGATGGTTTAAAATCAAAAACTTCTAAAATGTAACTGATTTTTTACACTTCACGAGCTTGTCGAACAGAAAATAAGTAATAAGGTGCCTTGTTGAATTGAATCACAATGAAATGTAAGGTTTTGCAACAAGTGAGACGATTTTGACAACTCAGACCAATCCTGTAAAGGGAAATTTTAAAAAAATTTGTGAGAAAATCCAGGTTACTTTAAATTAGTGTCGTAAAGAAGAATATCGCTGTAATGGTACCTCAGTGTGCTCTCTTAACAAGAATGGTTCCAATGATTCTGAAACCTTTTCTGTAATTAGTCCATTAGAATCGTTAATATCAGAAACTTTCAAATCTTCAGTTAACCTCGTCGCAGTCCTCGTGCTCTAGAAG